TTTCACCAAAATTCGATTTAATTTGACCAAAATTTGATTTAATTGATTGTTTAATTCGATTGCTTAATTTGGTCAATTTAATTCTTTAATTTGATTTAATTTAATTTAATTTAATTTAATTTAATTTAATTTAATTTAATTTAATTTGATTTAATTTAATTTGATTTAATTTAATTTGATTTAATTTGATTTCATTTAATTTGATTTGATTTGATTTAATTTAATTTGATTAATTTATTTTCATTAGTTCGATTTAATTTGATTTAATTTCGACAAATCATCTCTCAAAATTAAATTATTCTTAAAATTAAATTAAACTTCTATCAAATGGCCTTTTTATCGAATTCAATTATCTTATTAAATTAAATTACATACTTTTAAATTAAATTATCTATTTAAATTAAATTATTTATTTAAATCAAATTATTTATTCAAATTAAATAGTTATATTTACTTAAATTATTTATTTAAATTAAATTAACAATTTGAATTAAATTAATTTATTAATTTGAACTGAACTCTCCATTCGAACTAAATTAAATTAAATTAAATTATTTATTAGAATTAAATTATGTATTTGAATTGAATTAAATAAGTTAAATCCGATTGAACTATTAATTTAAATGGAAGTATTTGTTCAAATTGAATTATTTATTTAAATTGAATTAAATTGAATTATTAATTTTAAAAATAAAAATCCGATTGAACTATTAATTTAAATGGAAGTATTTGTTCAAATTGAATTATTTATTTAAATTGAATTAAATTGAATTATTAATTTTAAAAATAAATAATTAATTTTTACCAAAAGCATAAACAGATCCAGCGAGAACAGAAATGCAAAAAGAAAACCAAGATTTATATTTTTTGTTTATTAACGCGTAAATGGCATATCCAATTAGCTGCAGCACAAACGCATGCAGCAGCAAACCTTTTCTTTTTGTCTTCTTTATCTCAGCAGCAGCAGCAGCAGCAGCAGCAGCAGCAATAATGCAGCAGCAGCAGCGGTAGTAATGCAGCAGCAGCAACGGTAAGAATGCAGCAGCAGCAGCAGCAATAACACAGCAGCAGCAGCAACAGCAGCAACACCAACGCAGCAGCAGCAACACCACTGCAGCAACAGCAACACCACTGCAGCAGCAGCAGCAGACTGCAGCAGCAGCAGCAGCAGCAGCAGCAGCAGCAGCAGCAGCAGCAGGAGTCTGACGCAGGGGGCGAGTGCAATGGAGGCGTAAGTGACAGCAACTTTGTCGTATTCTCTCGTGTCGGATTTGTTGTAACTTTTTGCAAAATGAAATTTCAAAAAAGGAAACTTCGAAACTCTTTCCAACTTCACTGCTTTCGTCAGCTTCCACCCGGATAATGCTGCAGCAGCAGCAGCAGCAGCAGCAGCAGCAGCAGCAGCAGCGGCAATGAAAACAATAGTGCAGCAGCAGCAGCAGCAGCAGCAGCAATGAAAAAAGCAGAGAAGAGAAAAAGTAGACAAGACAGAAACGGCAATTAAAAGAGACAGAGAAAATAAATAAAAGGAAATAAAAATAAATAACAGGAGACCGGAAAGGAAAAGTAAGAAGGAAAAAAGATAATTAAATAAATTAAATTAAAAATAAATAAAATAAATGAACAATAAAAGAAGCAAAAAAGAAAAAAAGGATTGGAAAGATAAAAAAGACAAAAAGAGAGAAATATAAAATCCAAAAGATTTCGAAAAAAACAAATAAAACCAAAAAGAAGAAAAATTAAAAACTTAAAAGATTTCAAAATAATACAAAAGAAACAAATAAAAACAAAAAGAGATAATAAAGACAAATGGAATGAAAAAGAAATAGAAAAAAATAAAATAAAATAAAATAAAATAAAATAAAATAAATAAAGGAGTTTTGAGCTTTCAAAAATGACATCAAAAGGAAAGAAATAACAAAAGAACAAAAGAAGAAAAGAACAAAAGAGTTAAATAAGTAAAAAGAATTAATTAGATTAAATTTAATTTAATTTAATTCAATTAAATCAGATCAAATTAAATTAAATTAATTAAATAAATTAAAATAAATAAATAAATAAAGACTTGCCAATTCCTACAAAAACTTCAAACAAAATCAGCCAAGAAGTTTCTTGACTGTCCAGCAAGTAAAGACCCACAATGAGCTGCAGCAAAAAACATTTTTAAGCAGCAGCAGCAGCAGCAGCAGCAGCAGCAGCAGCATATGCAGCAACAACACTTGCTACAGCAGCAGCAGCATATGCTGCAGCAGCAGCACCAGCAGCAGCACATGATGCAGCAGCAGCAGCATATGCAGCTGCAACACATGATGCAGCAGCAGCAGCATATGCAGCTGCAGCAGCAGCATATGATGCAGCAGCAGCAGCATATGCAGCTGCAGCAGCAGCACATGCTGCAGCAGCTGCTGCAGCAGCAGCACATGCTGCAGCAGCAGCTGCAGCAGCAGCAGCAGCAGCAGCAGCAGCAAGTTACCTCGCAGACGAAGCTGAAGATAAGAGA